GCCACTAATGTTTCTTGAAACCAAATAAGCGAAGTTACAATGAATGAAAAAAAGATAACCTACCTAGCTCAAATTCAATCCTAGAAGTTAATAGTCTGTCAACATGACAACAACAACAACAAAAGTGAAGGACACGGAATCAAGGATCATCATCATCTTCTTCTTCTTCTTCTTCTTCTTCTTCTTGAAGTATGCATGCTCAAGCACACGACGAGCTGAAATTATTCTAGCTGGATTCATGCAGAGCATTTCCTGGATGACAATGGGCAAAATTAACATAAACTACATGGTCCAAACAAGTGAAGGAAAATAAGAAGGAAAAAAAAAAGTCTTTCAGCAAAAAACATTTTCCTGCCAAGAAACTAGACAAATTAATGCCAGACAACATTTTTTGTAAATGTTTAGTTGTGAATTTGAAACTAATGCTATAACGTCCCAAATTTCTAGCCCAAATGATAAGACAACAATCATGGCTGTATCAAGAAAAACTAAATATAAATCTCCAAACTTACATTACATGATACAATAGTTCTTTATGCAACAATACATTAATCCAACGACAAGTAAATAAACAAATAAATACCCCCAAGGGTTTACAAGTTCCCAAGAGTTGAGTCTGGTTACACAAAACGGTTATTCAAACCCACACAAACATAGCCCTTAGCTTATACACAGAGTCACAGCAAATGAAGGCATTGTACTCCCAAAGAGAGAGAGAGAGAGAGAGAGAGAGAGAGAGAGAGAGAGGAGAGAGAAGCCCTTGAGTAGTGGAAAAGAAATAATTAATCTATGCTAAGGTAAGAGAAGCCCTTGAGTAGTCTCTATCTCTTTATCTTTTTGTCTCTCTCTCTCTCTCTCTCTCTCTCTCTCTCTCCTCCACTGTGTTCGCGTTGCTCACTCTCTTCCTTCCGTCTTCTCTATTTACTGAGTTTCCTCTCGATTTATCTATTCACTACAAGAAAATACACTTTTAGCGACCATTTTGTCTCTCTCTCGCTCATCACTCTGTCTCTGTCTCTCTTCTCTATCTATCTCTCACTCATCTCTCTCTCTCTCTCTCTCTCTCTCTCACCATCCACCTCCTTTACTACATTCACCACCACTGCAAACGCCATTCCACTACCACCATTACTACCACTGTCGCCACTTCACCTCTACGACTACCATTACTACTACCATTGCCACCACTCCACTACCACCACTACCATTACTGCCACTATTACTACCATTACCTCTCATTCACCCTTGCCACTCCATCTACTCTACCACTACCACAACTTCACCACTAATCTCCATCGCCATCACCACCACCACCACCATCATCTCTTATCCACCACCTTCACCACTACTGTCGCTCCCTCTCCTCTACCACAAAAAATTAGTTCGTGATTTTTAATAACCAAAAAAAATGGACAGTAAAAAAATATTTTTCATTGACCAGAGAAAATTAATTTTTATTTTAGTGGAAAATATTTTTCATTAAAATATTACCCCTACTTCTACCAAATAAAAAATAATAATATTTTTTTTCATTAAAATAAAAATGAAACAAATAAATTTTCAATCTTAGTAACTAAAAAAAAGAATTTTTTTTTAAAAAATTCATTAACTACAAAAAAATTTTAAAAAAATATATATTTTAACAAAAAATAAAATTTTTTGACGATGGCAACCCCGTCGCAAAAAAAAAAAAAATTAAATTAAATGGCGTTATTTTGTTATTTAAATTTCATTTCTGACCAAAAAAAAAAAAATTATTGTTATTTTTTATTGCTGCCCCATTTTTTTCCAATCCCCTCCCTCCCCAAAACAAAAAATCCCCAATCTCAAACATAAAAATCCCTAATCTCTTCTTACCCCCGTCTCTCTCTTTCTCGATCGACGACGAGCGACGGAGGAGCAGCGTCGTCGTTGTCGTCGTCGGAGCAGCGTCGTTGTCTACACAACAGTCTCACACTAATCATGTCACCTCAAGCACAATAATTTATGTTCTCTCTCTCTCTCACTTCTTGTCGCTTTCTCTTTCCATGCCCATTCTCTTCGACCAACCTCTGTAAATTTCGCTCAGAGAATCGAAACCAGAGTTTCTCTGAATAACCAAATCTCTTTCCTTCATATATATATACTTTATCATCAGCTCTCTCTCTGTAGAAATTGCATTTGGGTCTCACACAAAACCTCCATTGATGGGATCCTCATCACCAATCTCAATCCAACAGACTCTCCACCAAGACCCAAATCCCGAATCCTCCCCAAAACCACTTCCCTACAAGAAAAGATTCGTTACTTCTCTAATGGAGGCCGCTACACTCCAAACCCCCTCGTTCCGTGAAGACTCTTATTTTGTTTCCCACCTCAAATCCTCCGAACGCAAAGCTCTCCAAGAGCTTAAAGACAAGCTCATGGCTTCTCATGGTCCAGACTCCATGTGGGCCATCTCTCTCCTCTCCAATGACGACAAATCAGATGTGATTCTCCTCAAATTTCTCCGAGCCAGAGACTTCACTGACTCGCTCCAAATGCTTCTCAAGTGCCTCCAATGGCGAAAAGATTTTTATATATTTGGTTAACACAGTTGATTCGAATTCGATTCATATTCATTGTTGAAAAATCTTTGGAGCAGAGAGTTGAAAGAAAAATGAAGAACGAAGAGAAAGCTCGGTCTCTGTTTGGAATCTCACTCTCTGTCAGACCCATTTGGCATCAATTCCTCATTTGCTCTTCTGGGTTCTTCTGTTGAAATTTCAATTTTTTTTTTTTTTTAATCTCAGCCGTTGGATGTGCAACGGCTGATCTCAGCCGTTGCAAGGACGCTCGCAAGTTTAGCTTTGCAAGGAGAGGATCTGCACTCCAGTAGAGAATGGGTCTGGCACATTTTTCAAAGTTATAGAACAATACACTATTTTACCCTTTTTTTGGTTGTTTTGTGTGGCATTGTTTTCATTCACCACCAAGATCTCACATGGCACCATGGCGGTACTATCTTATACTGTCAATATCTTTAATACTATTTTCTAACTTAATTCTTCACCTGCCATTGTACACCTAATTACTTATCTACATGGTTATTATATTTAATACTATTTTACTATCTCATTAGTGTGTTTTTGTTCATTCTATGCACATGCTATTGTCTACCTAATTACTTAGGCATTTATCTGAAACAAACTATATTCTTCAACAAGTACGTATAGATGACACAATTTGACGCAGCGGAATACACGGAGACTAGATATCGTTCTAATAGACGAAATGAGCTTTCAAATTTACGAGAAAAATAGAACCTTAAATCCACAAGGAAGAAAAAATATCTTAATATTATTGATTGAATGATTTCTAATACATATGCTTATAGGTTTATTTATAATAAACTAAACCTAAAACTTGTAGGAAAAGTAATTCTAAAATAAATTAAGAAACTTAACCTAAGAGAATAGGAAACTAAAATTCTAAATTATTTAAAATCCTAGTCAAAATCTAATTCCAAAATAATAAAATTAAAAAATAATATATCAAAAATATTAAAACTAAAAATATAAAGGGTATGTTTGCTTTGGATTTGTAGAGTGATTTTGGAAAAAAAAATTCAAAAAATTTGTTTGGTTTGTAAATTTTTCAAAACAATTTCCAAAATCACTCTCTCTCTTACCTATCAATCGATCACTGTTTCTCTCTCATCTCTCTTTCTCAATTACTTTTTCTCTCACACACATCTACTCAATTATAACAAAATAACAAATCATTCCAAACTCTCAAACTCCAAAACTACTTTCAAATATACAACCAAACAAACCAAAAAAATTTCTAAACTCTCTCCCCAAAACAATTTTTAAAAATTACTCTCCCAAAACCAAACCAAACATATCCAAAAATTCTTCAAATCTTGTCCTACATCACAATTTTACCCTAATCAACCAACTTAATCAAGAAAGAGTACTTTTTTTCATACCAAGAGGTCGATATATCATATTATCAATGACAATGCCGAAGATCTATATTTGTTTATAAACAGGTGGATGGGTTATAATTTAGGCCAAGAGAGGAAACATACTATTCCCAAGGGCCTCCAAAGTTGAGTCTAACTTATGTTTTGAAGTTGAATGGATTTGAATTTTTTAAATTTTGTTAACTAGCAGTATCAGATTGTCTTTGAATGAAATGCTAGTTTGCTTTAGGGGTATTGAAAATCAGTTACTGAGTTTATTCCTTTTATCTGCTTTTATAATTTCAGGTATCAGATTACCCGAACTATAAACCAGAAAACGAAGACTACGACAACCTTTACACGGGTACAGAGAATTTAGGAGGTGAAAATGGAGAAAGGTCGCGCTTCAATGCTGGTGGGAGGGTAGGTGTTGGAATTGGCCTCAGCATTTGTGTTGGAATTGGGATAGGTGTGAGCTTGCTGCCTCGAACCTACCAAGGAACTTGCCAGAAACTTCAGAAGGCGGCTATTATAGCCTATACTATCCTTGTTAGCCCAACATCATATATTTATGCTCTTGCATAGTCAAAACCTTGCTAACCTAACGTGTTTCTTATATTGGTTTTCCTTGGTTTCAGCTTGTGGTAGTTGAGGCTTTAATTCGAAATGGTACTTCTAACAACATAAGAATTATAGCGGCATTCCCTCCGCTTGATTTTGTAGGAAATAGCAGACTTTGACTTCCATAATCACTGTGAATTTTTATTTTTTTTTTAATGTTTATGTTTCATTAAAATTGTTAATAGCAGTAAGTTTTGGTGATGGAGAACGATTTAGAGATCCCTTTCAATGGGTTAAAATTATGTGTTTATACCGGGATGCCATACAATATAGTTCAGAAGTTTGAGAAATTAAGGAGGAGATTCACAATATTCAGGATATCCATGTGATGCCTAATCCAAAATCATTACAACATATGATGTATTTAGATTCGGATTTCATTAAATCTACGAAGAACAAGCATAAATTCAAAAACTTAATATATACATATATATATATATATATATAATTATCGTACTCAGGAATCAAGTCTATCAAATGGCATTGAAAAACAGCCACAAACAGTTGGCTTGGCAACAGCCTTCAAAGATTTATTTTCTCGAACTACAGGTGCTTTACATGGTTTGCTTTCAAGAGAGACCAAGGCATATATACAGCCATCAGTTTTACACCCTAACATCATATCAATATGCACAATATTTGACAGGAAAGGCAAGAAACCTATGGTAGAACAAATACTGACTGTTAAAACTGTCAAACACAAGTTTCAAAACCCTACTCACAAAGATTTTCGGCTTGTAGGGGATGAGTTGCACTACGGAACCAGGTATTGAATGGAGTTAGCAAATGAGGACAGTCTTCAACATTTCGAGTTGAGAAGCTGATACACTGCTGCAACAACTCCTGTGCATGGCATGGGCAGTGCAGCGATAATTTTCAGGAATGTTTCTTCGAGCTCCAAATACAGTGATTTATGACAGGGCAGCATGGGCGAGACATTGTCTTTGCATACATTCAACACGGAAGCCAATCTTTAACGAGCTTCATCCTAACCTGTGGCAGAGAATCAAAAATAATGCAAGTCAGCTATCTAAACTACCCACTAAGTTTAGAAGAAATGGCTACTCTTTACAAAAAAAAGTGGTCGATGAATAATATGAGGAGAAAAAATTTGAACTACTATTCTTCAACAAAAAGCATTGGATCGAAGTTCTGAACTTCCAACCAGACAATTCAGTGTTCATAGTTTTAACCTGTGTTACATGGACTCTTCTATTTCCCCCACAATACCCGTGTCCACCGGATATGACAAGGATAAGGGTATGGGATATGTGTCCGACGCTCGTACCCAATTTAGACAATCAGATCCTTTAATTTGTGACAATACATGAAGAAAAAGAAACTTGCATTTGTTAGTAAAGCAATATTTTTAGGCTCCCACATGAATTAGATATAGAAATTTCTTATTTTTTTCTAAATCATATTTAATTTCTAATATATTTCTACATAATTTAAATCATCTCATCCGAAAATATTATATAATATGCAATATATATGTGCATATGACGTGTCCCCGTATCCATATCCAATTTTGGATACATATCCCAAGATCCTAAGATTTAAATTTATGAAGGTCTGACGCTTGGATACACACCCGCACCCGACACTCGTACCCGAGTCCATGTAACATAGGTTTTAACAACAGAAACCTCAGCCATAAGATATGAAGAAGTCATGTCACCGTGTAAAGTATGCAAATTCCTTGTAGAAGCTCTTTTTACACCATTCCTAATTTTGTTGTTTCCCGTAAAGTCACAGTGAAGCGATTGCTAAACTCAAATCTCCAACATTAAGCTATTGTTTATGGTTTACAAAACTACAAAAACAAACAGCACAGAAAAATTACTTTGTTCTCAAGCCTATTGTAAATCTAGCCTATTGGGAATTATGTTGAAACCGAAATTAAGGTCATGTTCAGATCTTGGATTTGTGGAAGAAAAGGGTAAGAAGAAGTAGAAGAAGAAGAAAGGGAAAGAAAATGAAGTAAAGGCTAATTATGATATATAATTTTAATGCCCAATAGGCAACATGGCTCTATTTGAGTCAACTTAAAGGAAATGGATCCACATAGCTGACATAACTAATTGAGATCACGTCTTTCGCTTTAAATTGAAATAAGTAGAACCAACATTTATATTAAAACTAGAAAAAATATACTCCATATATAGATACGCGTCAGCATACGAAGCTTACTTATTTAAAGGATTGAATGATGGACATACAATCAGCTCCATTTAAGAATAAACTGTACATATAAAGTATTCGATTGAATGATTAAACCATTGATTTTGTCCCATGCCTTAGATCCGGCAAAGATGGTATACATATCATGCTGTTAAAACTCATTCAATGATACTAAAGTTATATACAATTGCTCTCGCAAATGGGACCTGTTATATTCCAAATTTTGATCCTTTAAATAAGTAAGCCACGTGTACTAACAAGTTACTACATATGGAGTAAAACTATTTCCAAATAGTCCAGAAATCTTCTTGGCATTTTAATACATATATATATATATATTAATGCAGCGCCCTTTAATAGATCAACCTTGTGGGTATTATTCATTAAAAATAAAAATAAAAATATCAGACCTAAATTTGAAAACTACCTAATTAAGGGGTTGGGCATAGTTATTAAAGGCGTGTGCACCGTAAGGTATCAAGGTCTAATGAAAAACTATGAACAAGTAGAACTGCAATTCACCACCTTAAACACTTCGATGAAAACTTATAATTTACAGACATAAATGTTTAAAAATCAAACTAATAATATTTTACCAAATTATTATCTTTTTTTTTTTTTCTTTTTGATTTGTTGTTCTTTTCTTATTTCATAGTACATAAATATATTAAAACTATTAAAACATAGCCCCAAGGGGTTGGCTTGGTTGCAAGGCCATGGTTCTTGAGGGTGTACTCCCTCCAAGGTTTAGGGAAAAACCCTTAAATTAACAGTGGTGCATTTGTGGGAAACTTCTTGCAGAGGGCCAGTGCTAGGGCTGTTCAAATGAACTGAATACCCGCCCAAACCATCCGGGCTGCCACGGACGGTTTCGAAGAGAAGAACAGTCGGCTGTGGTTTTTCTATACTAAATTTCATAGATTCCCGGTCGGTAATGGATTTTTCATATATAAATCTGACAAACCCAGCCCGACCGAAACAATAATGAGTATATATATAATATTTATATATTTACATTGAGAGTATTCATAGCAGTCTGTCTGCCCCTTCACTTTCCAAAGAGATTAATTTCTCTTCACTTTATGTCTCTCATAAAATCTTGAAAGACTCAAAATTGAAAAGTCATTCCCTTCTCTCTCTTTACTTACTCTCATTTGTTCCCCCCCTCTCTCTCTTCTTTCTTCTCTCATAAACCGTGGAAAGAACAAAAATGATGAGTCTCTCCCTCTATTGTCTTCACAGATTTATTTCTCATTTTTCTTCTTTCTCTCATCAACCCTAGGTAGACCAAAAGTTGAAGAATCTCTTCTTTTCTCTCTTCAATCTCGTTTCTGGCCTTTCTTTTTCTCTCATTTTTCATCTTTTTCTTTGAGAGACAAACTCATCTCTCCCTCATGATTCATCTGTGCTTCTCTTTCTTTTGATGGTAATGGTTGTGGTGAAGACGATGTAGTTAACAACGGCAACGATCTGCGATGGCAATGGAGATGATTACAGCTACGATGGTGAGTCTTTCTCTTTCTTTCTCCCTTTTTCTTCATTTTTGTTCATACACTGTCATAGATGTGTGTGTGTATATGTATATAATCATATATATGTGTGTGTATATTTATGAGTATGGATTTAATTCAATATTTTACACAAAAATTTCACCCCTACTTAGATTTTCGAATTCGACCGAACCGACCGTCAAACCGTCTTCTTTAATTCGGTCGATTTCGAACCACACTTCGGCTGACCACAGATCACTAATTTCTTAACCCGAAAGTGTCGGTTCGGCTGACGGATAAAGGGTAAACCCGAGCCGAACCGACCCGTGAACAGCCCTAGCCAGTGCACCCCAAAGGATTAGTTGGGCTTTGATCCGGATGCCCCTGCGCCAATCAAAAAGTTAATAATAATAAAGAAAAAACATCTTTCTTGCAGACTTGCACCAATTTATTCAGAAAACAAAAAGAAGAGCAACACCAATAATAGCAACAAGACCACAACAATCATGGCTATGAAGAATCAATATATTGGAAAGTCTTACAATGGTCCTCTTTTACAATGTTAACTCGTTGCAAAAGAAATCAAAAGTGAAAGAAGAAGATACAATGACAAAGAAAGGTATAAAAATAAAAAATAAAAAAACCTAACCCACATCACCAAAAAACAAAAACGAAACAAAACATGCAACTGCACAAAGACGAGCAACGGGAGAGTTTAGAAAATCTAAAACAGAGTTCTTTTTGGATAGAAAATGTAAGTACACAAGGTAATGTTGATGAAAAGTTGCAAATTCTCATAGATGAACGGGGGCCAAATGATAAAAATAATATAAACAAACAAACAAAAGATGAAAATAATGGCAAAGGAGAAAATAAGGTGTTCAATATCAATTAGTCTAAATTAACAAGCTATCGCTGAGTCACGAGCCCAGGTTTTCCAAAACAAAAAAATTGTACTTGAATTCATAAATTTTGTTCTGAAATTAGTTGTCGTTCTTTGAACAATCAGATGAGTGAGTATTCTCATGGTCCAAAAATTTATAAACAATGACAGTGTCTTAGGACAGCAACAGGTAACTAGGAGTACAATAAGTAAGTGATTGATTCTAAAAAATCACCTAAATAATAACAGGTGTTCCAAACTCAAAACGCAAGGTCAAAACCATTCAACTTGCTCAGAAAAATATTGTCTAATCACCAACATAGTTTGCTAGTCAAAACAAGCGATAAAGATAGGGCACAGGGGTAAATGATGAGGCAGAAAGTAAACCTACTGCTTTCAAAAAAAAAAAAAAAAAATTTATTCTTTTTTCTACCCAAATCATCCAATCCAAATGGACTGTAACAGAGATTAGCACATTCATATCACATTGTACTCTCAAACCATAACAAGCCCATTGAGAGGAGTAATGTTCAATATGCAAAACAAACATCAATTTTCATGAAAAACAGTTATGCAATAATCTTGGAAAATGCATGAGACCCCCAGTGGGGTTGCTGGGGGTCTCTTCTCATTGGCCCAAAAAACTGTTTTTTTTTTTTTTTTTGGGTTTTCAGCCAATGGCAGCCCCCCATGTGGCGCTGGGGGGTCACCCCCACTGGGAGTCCCCAGCAGAGCCCAATAATCTTTTGGATAAAATAGCTATAACAAGTTGAAAAGCAGAACCTGTTTATCAGCCAAAATGGTTCCAGCAGCAACAGCATTGGCAAGCTTGCAAGTGCATCAAAGCACAACAGCAGGGAGGCCTGGCACAATATTCCTTCACGCATCATCTCGAAATGCCCTCTGCAAATCTGCCGGGAATGAATCCTGTTCGCTCCCGTCCTTCACGGCATTATCTGCCACTCTCAACTCAATCATCCTTTCGATTAACCACAACAGATGCTTCCCATTCGACATCGCAAAACGCAAATTCAACCTCTGAATAGGCTCCGTCTCATTATGGTCTCCTCTAAAAGCCGGGCTCGAATACTCCAATGACTCCTTCACGATCTTCAAACTCGTCTAGAAAGCTAAATCCAACACTATCCGTGCCGATTCTCTCGACGAGAACTGCCTCAAAAGCTTCGCTACGAAAGCCTTCGCGAATGCCATGTTCGGATGGTTATGTACTGCCGTAAGAATCAATCTGTGAAGCATTTCCTCTGATGCATCGTTCTTCGCAGGCGAAACCCTAGCGAGAAGCTCCTTAGACTCATCGTCTCTTAGAAAAGGAACAAAACTGAGAATCATCTTCTCTTCCTCTTCAGTACACGACACAGCCTCGAGAAATCGAAAGCAAGACCTAACACAATCTTCGAACGAGAGCCGCGGGAAGTATCGAGAGAGCCGTCGAAACGCAATCTATCACACTCGATAAATCATTCGTGTAGAGAAGCTGAAGAACAGTCTAGTGATTGTCGATTGATCCAGTCGTGGCCGAAACACCCAAATTGAACTGATAGATTTTCCGAGAGCTCTCGGAATCCGTATCGCCGGACTCTCTCTTCCATCGATCCGATAACAATGCAGCGAAATACTTCGATCTGCGAAGGACATCGGAGTGTAGGTAGACCTGAAAATCGGCTTGTTCGACGGGATCGACGGCGGAGTCGAATGGCGATGGCTGTTCGAAATAGAGGCGGAGGATGACGTCAGCGGTGGCGGAGTCGTTGAAGCCGCCACAAGCGGCGGCGGTGGTGGAGGCGGAGGGGGGAGTAATGAGTGAGAATTGGAACGGCGGAGAGACGGACGTTTGCGTGAGGAGTCGGTTAGGGTTCCGTTGGGACGGGAGGAGTCGATGACGGCGGTGGTGGAGGAGAGGCGGTTGTTGCTCCCCACGCGCTGCCTCTTCTTTGACAGGCCACCACCGGCATTGCTACCGATTATCATTTCTGAGAAAGATTGAATTGAAACGAGAGAGAGAGAGGAGCGTTTTATAGTCGGATCTTTTTATCCGGAAATGTCTTGAGAGTTTGTCGGATCTATGTTTTGGACCATTGTTTTTGCTTTGTTTGTTTATGTGTTTGGAATAAAGTTTGAGGTTAAAATAGCCCTAAAGGCTAAAAAAGTTAAATAATCTTAAATAATACTTTAAATTAATGATTTATATTTATAACAAAAATAGTTCGGCAGTGGCAGCTTACACTGTCATATAGACAATACACTGATAACTTATCATCGTCACATTGACAGACTATCCCACAGGTGGTAAATGACAATTTTGCTCCTTTAGACTAATTTTGAAAAAAGTAAGGTTAGGGACAAATTTGTCATTTCAGTCTTAAACATTATTTCAAACACATTTTTCAATACAACAATTAACTAAAAAATTCAACCAAACTTCCCAAACATAAAAATTAAAATAGTCTAATAGTCAAATAGACAAAAAGCCAAAAAGCCAAAAAAGTAGCCACTTCCCCAACAAGGTCATGTTTCTAAACTCTGTTTGGTTTTAAAGTTTAAAAAAGGGAAAATTATCGGAAAGTCCTATATAGATGAATTATGTCCCGCTTGGTCCCGCTGATTTTCTGTTTGATTGACTAGTCCATATGAGACAGGATTCATGACTGATAAGTCCTTTTTTGAATGTTGTTGGTGCATATTGGACGGATATGCCCTCATACATTATATGGAGATGTTCTGTTGTTATATTTGGTATGTGTAATCCCAAGATTTGTGCGGCGGACAGTGGTGAAGATTCATTTATGAGAATTCCAATTAGGGTTTTCATTCTGAGATCATTCGTTTGGTGTAACAATCAGGAAGTGCAATAGTTAATGGCAACACCACCGTCACACACAGGTACATTCGACACTTGGTATTACACAGTCCTCTCCCAACATTAACACACATTCATCCCACCGCACAAATCAATGATGTTGTTCACACCCCACTAGTGGAACAAAACTGAACAACCATTCGTTGCCCAATTACAACTCCCAAAATCATGTGTTCCGGGCAGATATGCCCTCTCAACAGCACATACTCAACGATGCGCAATCATTGCTTGTTGCATTCCCGACTGATGGATTGCAGTTGTATTGTAATAACCCGACCCTCGTGTCTGTTTCTGAAATATTTTCGATCCCTTATTCTGGGCATTTATATGCTTACAGTAAAATGTTATGTGGAATTGAATTTAATTAAGTGAGTTCTATGAATACGGACCTATATCTGTTTAGCAAGGATGATATTTGTCACAATTATAGTGTTCGACTCAGAAATTGAGAGCCTTAGAGGCTTGATAATCCGACATTGAGTTCACATTTGAGATCAGCATAATTTTTAGGTTATAATAAGCATTTTTGTAGAAATTTGATTTGGATTGATTAAACGATTAAATTTTGTCCTATTCACCTTATATATTTATATAAGCCCTTTGATCTTTTGACATGGAGGAACTTTTAACTCAAAAACAAAATATCTCTTGAGTAAGATTGGGAGAGGAAAGTTAGAGAGGAAGAGGGGAAATTCTTCAAGGGAGAGTTTGAGAGATTTAGAAGATTTAGAGGAATTCAACTCAAGGTATGTAAGAATTACTTTACATAAGATCTTTCTTGGACAAGGGCAAGGATTTTCTTTGAATTGAGAGGGCTAAGGTTTTGATTGAAGTTTCATATGTGATGTTTACTTAATTGAAGAATTGTGTTTATTATTTGTTTTGTGGTTGGTTGATTTGAGTTAAATAGGGGAGATTATGCTTTAATCTTTGGTTTCTAAGTTGAATTTTCATGGTTGTATATATATATTGTTGTATTAATGGTAGTCAACATGGAAGAAGTGAGTTGTTGTTGATTATGCTTGTAAATTTAAGGGATCAAGGATCTAACCAAGATGTGAATAATCTTTATGCAAGTTTGAGCCATATGTTTGTATTGAGTTTGCTTAATTTTGAGCCTTGCAAGTACTCTCAAAGAATTGGGTTTTGTTGGAAAAATTCGGACCACACTGCTGGAATCGCCGCACGTGCAGGGATAACTGTTGCACGTGCAGGAAGCCATGCTGCACGTGCGGGGCTCACAGCCGCACGTGCGGCCCATGTTGCAAAAATTCGTTTGCTCGGTTTTACGTGCTTAACCCTCTGGTATTTTTGGAATTTGTGTTTGATGCCCTTAAGATGCTTGTAAATTCATTCGAAGTGATATGAAGCAGGAAACGAATTAAGAAAGAAAAGGAATTAATGTCTAAGTTGTGTACATGTGTAGGGCCTAACCCGAGAAGGACAAGCACGCCGTTACAGTACTGTGAGTAATAGTACCTCAAACGTCTGTTATTTTCCGTTAAAAATTATTGTTATTGGCATTTTCTTCTCCTTGAGCAATTATGTCACCATGTGTGTTGGTTGGGAATCGATGTGAGCATCGAAAGAATTAGCACACAACAACATGACTCTGAAACCATTCTGCATTCCGACTACGGTTAACGTTTATCGGTACTGTGCTAAACTTCTAATTACCTATGATTTCGCATAAGAACTGCACTCATGAAAGTAAACCCCGTTTACCGGGAACTTGATATTATCTTCTGTTTGAGTTAATATATGTTTTATGACATAGAGATCTGCTTAAAGAGATTAAAGGGCGTTACTAATGTTTTGTTATCCGTGAATTAATCTTAAGAACACACGATAACCAAATGGAATAATGATGCTTGGGTACTTCGAATCATTTTGTTTGGTCAATAATGAATCAAGACTATTATGAGGTAAATTGTTCTGTCCCTACAAATAGTATTGTGATGGCACATGTACAATTTGTGGGATACGCTATACTTATTGCTAACAATTGTCATTAGTATTCTGCTAAACGTAAACTAATTACGTTAACTCATGTAAATGATTGAAAGAATCTGTGTGCCTCTATATAACTTTGAGACTAGTCAGTTCTGATGATATCTGAAGTTATTCTGCTTTGTGGTTTGTCCCGAAATTTATTGATTTATGGTATGGAACTATGGTATCTACGTATTTCTAGAAGCGTTCAATCTGTGGAATATGTTCACCCTTTGCTAACAATTATTAGTGACGTTCGGTTAAACTTATATTATCTATATTAATTCATGTGAATAATGAGAAGAATGTGTATATTTTCTGTATGATTCTGAAGTTAATCTGTTCTGATGTTTTTTTGGTATGGAACAAAGTGTTGTACGGAACTAAGTGCAACACTTTGGTGAGAGCCACCTCTAGAATCCGTGCGAGCCACCTCTTGAGTCCATACATATATTATTTCTGGGCCTATGGCCGTTCTGTTATTTCTGGGCCTATGGCCATTCTGTTACTTCTAGGCCGAAGGCCGTTCTGTTATTTCTGGGCCTATAGCCGTTTTGTTATTTCTGGGCTGAAGGTCGTTCTGTTAATTCTGGGCCGATGGCCGTTCTGTTATTTCTGGGCCTATGGCTGTTCTGTTATTTCTGGGCCTACGGCCGTTCTGTATCTATAGGCCTATGGCTGTTCTGTACATACTGGGCTTAAAGCCATTCTGTTAAGAAAACTAGACCCATGGCTGTTTTGGAAATAATTATAGAATGTAGTTAATTATATGCTTCTGCAGTTATATACTTTGTTATTCAAGTTGAACATTACATTATTTATATACTATTATTCACTGAGTTTCGCTTATTCTGTATTCTGTCTGTTTCTGTAGGTAATCAACCGGGAGTCCAGTCCTAACCCTTAAGGTTCGTCTCCCTTTTGTCAACTTCGATGTATCTACGCACTAACTGAAGCCCGTGCATTTTGTAAAGTGTTATTAGATTATTGGCTTATGCTTTGGTTGTCTTTCATTAATATTTTCGTTATACGCCCAATTGTGGGGCTGAGTCGAGGTATATGTATGCAAGTTTCCTGCATATTATTTACTTAGTGTGATGTTGTGATCCTGGCATAATAGTAGTAGCTCAATGGAATAGATTTGTTTTGTTATCAAGTGCTTCCGTTCAGGCCCCATATGTTACATATATCGGTTTTGTGGCCGTTTCGGAAGAGGTCATGCCCAAAACTTTTAGGGGCGGTTTTGGGGTGTGACATGTATTCATATCGTAATTATTTCATTTCGTTATCACGGATCATGTTCATATCTTTAATCGTGTATCTTTGTGTGCAAATACTTGTGCTACGTTGCAGATGGATGTCTTTATGATGCTTCTATGCTGTTACCGCTTCACAAATGTTGCGTACAGTTTGCAACCGTCGAACACATTTGCTAAACTTGTTGATTTTATTTGTTCAAAGTTCAACGGGCTCCTGTCGAGAAAAGTTGTGTTATTCTACAAGATCCCGAGCTACAACAACTTCATGTTACAGAGTGATGTAGGCATACAGAATATGATTTGCCTTTCCCATTTGTTTCACTTGCAGACGGTTGACGTGATCATCTAACATCACCATGGGAGGAAACAATAATCCTGCTAGTGATCTAATGACCACTCACGCCTACGTCACGATTGGGGCTACAGTACTAACTGAAATGGAAATGGATGATGAAGTCAACCTGTTGCAATCATTTTATCCGCACAAAGAAAAAGTCTTCCTTTCCGCTCCATGGGCAACTGGATTTACCCACGTCAGACAACACTTTGAAGGTGGGGCTTCTGAATTTCACAACTTCTTACGAAAATATGCTGTCAAATGTGGGTTCCAGATCAAGTTTCTCGAAAATGACTCTATTCACGTAACGGCTATTTGTGCTTTGAACGAATCAAAGGGTTGCACGTGGCCTGTTCACGAAAGGAAATTTGAGGCCAATAGGTTTTTCTACCAACGTAAATGGAACAGTGAACACATTTGTGGTGTTGTTGTTTGTACTTCCACAAACCCACTCATCGGGTCTGATCTTGTTGCCGACATCATATCCGAACGTGTGCGAAAAGGGCCACAAACCCGTCCCACCGAAGTTATATTGAACTTGAAACAAGATTACGGCCTCGACATCACTTATCGTGTGACGTGGCTAGGTGTCGAAAAAGCAAGAGGCGAACTATTCGGTGCACAC